AGTTTGAAGTGTTGACATGACATGTGATTGTGAATTGATTTCACACTAGTGGAAAAAGGTATAGTTTTTCATTTAATTTTTAACATGGCTCTTTAAGGTTAATCATTAATTTGATCTTTTTTGATTGGCGTTTAATAAGTTTCAATGCCTTATTAAGAGTATTCAGTTAGCATTAATTTTTAGTAATCATCAAGAAATTTCTCATTTATACTTATTAATCTGTAATTGTGATGATAGTTGATTCATTAAAAGAGTATAGAGTGATCTTTACCTACATAAAGTAACAGAAACTTTGTTTGAATATCACAAATTATGGAAGATTATTACATCAGGAAATGATGTTGTTTATTCTTTATCATTACTTTATGGTCGAATACATTTGAATAAGGTTTTTGTCGGATTAAAGTTGTTGAATAGATATTTATTTCCATGAGCATCTAATATTTGTACAGTTACTTCGCTTTGGTTATTGTTAACATACTTAATTGAGACATCAATGTGTCAGTCATTGGATTTAATTTTGTTCCATGAAACGTATCGGAATAAAATATTAATCATTTAAGAACATTTTATTTCATCGACAGTAGGCTAATCAGTTCAATTATTTATTCTCACAGGTTTCTGATTATTTCCGACGTGCACCAGCAACTGACTCCGGTCGGATCCATTTCATATAATAAAAAGAAAATCCGATCAGTGGAATATCTACATCCTCACAGGATCCGACAAGTTTCTCTCGCAGTCATTGATCGGATTGATTATGAGATCCTGTGTCATGTGACCCGACAAATTCTGACTATTTCCGGACGTCGGATTATCCCGAATTAATCTAGAAATGATCGGATCCTGAAATCGAATCTGGTCGGTTCCGAATATATGGATCTGGTCGGATCTTGGTGAATTCGACTGGTGGATTGCAAAGGGAAACAACGGATTAGATCGGAATCCGACAAAGATTAGCCGACCGAATCCGATTGTCCGTATTGCATCGGATTTGATACCCTCCCGACAAGATCCGATGTACCCGCTTCGACCTGGGTGAGTACGAATCCTCAGTTGGCAATATCGAAAATATCAGAAGATAGAATTTTTCAAGAATAATCTTTATCATTTCTCATCCGAAGATAGAAAAATGAAAGATTACAACAAGAAATATTGCTCTGAATCATTCCAGCTACTNTACCATAGATGTTTTAGTGAATCCACTTATGAACAGTATAAGCTTAAACAGACTCGCCCATTATATGACGTATATGTTTAAAATATTCAGTCGACGGTATAACGTGTCGCTTGTCTAATAAATGTCATTGATAAGAATTTCAATAATATATTGAAAGTTAAAAAAACTAATTGAACATCTATTGATTGTTATAAAAGCTCTTGATAAATTTAGACATTTAATAAATAGTCTTCTATCTCGAAAATGTCAATATTTATCATATTCTCTCAGATATAAATGTATGATTTGTATTGAGAAAAAATCTTCTTGAAAGTATCATCATGAGAAATGTATTCTTTAAAATTCTACTTTATTATTTTATTGATCAATATGTATCATATGTTATTCTTTATAATACAGAAAATCAAGTTAAAACACAATCTTATGATTGTATTTTCTATTCAAATAAAACATATCATTTACAATCAAGTAAATATTGTATTCAAATGAATGATTCTATTCAATTAAATCGAACAATGGATAACGATTCTGAATGTTTAAATAATGGACAAAAATATGATTTTTATTCACTTAAAATGCTTAATATAGAAGCAATGGAAATTTTAAAATGGAATTCAGGAATCGAAATAGCTGATTCATATGCAGCGTATTTGAACAGATTTAATCATGAATCTGACTATGGTAAACAACAGTTTTTATGTAATTGTACAAAAATTGGTACATTTGGTAAATTTTGTGAATATAATTTTATGAGTAATTCAACATTTGAAGAAACAATTGAACACCAATTTTATTTAAAAGAAGAATTACATCAGGGAAGTCAATATATTGGAAATCGAACATGTTATATAAGTTTAGAATGTAATTATGGATTATTATGTCTTGATTGGAGAAATATATGTGATGGTAAACAACAATGTATTGATGGTTCAGATGAAGATAATTGTGAATTATTAGAATATAATGAATGTCAATCAAATGAATATCGATGTACAAATGGACAATGTATTGATGAAGAATTCTTTTTAGATGGTGATATCGATTGTATGGATCGTTCCGATGAACAATATAAAGTCTTACACCAAACTCATATTGTATTTCAAAATTGTGCATATAAACCAGATTTTAATTGTGATGAAGTATTAGTACCAAGAAATCAGTTTTCCTGTGGTGATGGTCAATATCACCGAGATAGTTATTTACTTTATAGAGAAATGTCAAATCACCTGTATTGTGAAAGTTTCAGGAGTAGTAATTTTAGATGTGAATTAGATCAACATCAATTATCTTGGACAATGAATAATGGACAATGTGTACTCTATGGTCGATTAGAAGGTCATACTCAAAATGATATATGTTTATTTTTGATTAAATGTGCATTAAATAATGGTTTAGGACTTGGATGTCCATGTAATGGACAAAATTGTAAAGATGTTATTTTATATTATAATTGTACATCAATTAATGAATATGTTGAATATCCTTTAGGAGGTGTACTTGCTCTAAATATAAGAACATTTTATATGTTAGAAAATCTTTATGGAAATAAACAACCAACTAATGTTTCATTTACTGGTAGTGTGAAATGTATTGGATTTCATCTTTCAGTAAAAGAATTCAGATCAATGGATTATGATCCTAAAAATCTTGCTGGTTTTGTTCATTGGCGTTCATTTGAAAATACGTTATGTGAAATTAGTAAGACTTTATATTGTTCATCGGAACGACCACCAAAGCGTTATAATTCAGATTCAACATATTCTACTTTTGCTACTTGTGAAGAATTTTATCGTAAATAATATATTGAAGCACTTGATATTGTTATTAATATGTTACGTGCTCGATTTACTCAAAGTAATTTTAAATTATTATGTAACGTTGAGAAATTTATTCTTAATGTGTCAAACAATCCAGTTCATGATTTAGATGATCTTATACAAGAGATAATGGGATTTTGTGATGGAGATATAGATATTCAAAGATTGAAAGCTGAAGTACATATGATTTACGATTTTTTTTCCATCTGTAATTAACACGAATCAGATGAAAATAAAACCAATTACAAAGATCTCGACTATTTGTGAAATGTTAAATTTATGTGCTGTTGGAAAACAAATGTTCAAATAATTCGATAAATTGAGTAAACTTTATTTAACTGTTCCTGTTACTACAACTACCGCTGAACGTGGGTTTAGCGGATCGAATTGTTTAAAAACTGTGCTTCGAAGTTTTATGACACAGTCACAACTTAATCATTGTTTGATAGCACATATTTACAAACAAAAGCTCGATGAAACTGATCCATATCAAATAATGTCAACATTTATCGCGTCGAATAACAAAAGACAGACTTTTTTTGGATAAATAGTTTAAATTGAAATAAATGATTTTTTTGCTATGAAATTTCTGTCCGGAGTAAAGAATAAACAAATTACTGCAACAAAGAGCAGACTCGACTAAGAGACTGTTTTTCACATTACCAAAACAAATAAATAACGTAAAGCAACCTATTAACTGAACTTATTTCAGTCTATATCACAGGAATAGGTAAAAGTTTTGTGGGGTAACCAATAATCTTACACTGAGCCTTACCTGATCTGAAAACGTTCCGCCGCCCCTGTTCAGCTTATAATGGCAACCAGCGATACCAAATTTTATTGTTTTGGAAATATCATGAACGACGATTTCCAATTTTTATCAATAATTACTAAACGTATTTTAGTTATACAAGGTTCATCTGCAGAATCAGAAAAACATTTTTCAGCTGGTGGAATTATTGTTAATGAAAGACGAGGATGTTTGAGTGAAAGTTCAGTCGAAGCATTGATCGTCTTACGTGAAGCTTATTTAAATAAAACGTGGCCTAAATCCAAACATGGTTTGAACGATGCAGCTCAAAATCATCATGATCAACAACGTGAGCCATAATCTATTACATATATAACTGATTGCGATATTTTATTTGTTTTATATATCATTATGCTTAATGAAAAATTTAGTTTGTTTTATGATGAAAAGGAAAACAATGATCGAAATTAATCAAAAAGAATTGTTTGATAGTTAAAACCTAATTATTGATCATGTGTTAGAAGAAATATCGAAAGAAAATCATGAATGGACTGAATTTTTTCCTTCATATTAAGTAATCAGCTCGTAAAAAGATCATGCCGGTCTACCGGCCGGTCCAACCGGTCTGATCGATTCCTACCGGCACCGGTACCGGTAAGAAAAAATCCGTGCCGGTTACAACTCTGATTCTTTCCAAAACGATGAAATTTTATATGACAACAAAAATGATATACTTGCCTTTTTTTATATACAACGTGACAAATTTCTACCTTTTCACCGATTTTATGTAATCGATGGCAAATCGTATATATCATATGAAAATATGACGTAAAAAGAAATGATTCACTATCGACAGAAAGCAATCGTTTACATATCATTTCATCGTACACAATTTATTGAAAGAAAAAATACAGTTACAAAATATAAGATTTTTCACTAACTCTTCGCTATTTCGCAGTCCTCAAAACAAAGACATTTGGATGATTGTAAACAACAAGATATAATAATCAAATGAAACGTAGAAATGTTCATATAACGCAACATGATACATCACTGTTGTAGATTGATTTCTAATCTATAAATAGCCAGTACACCATATGGTGGTTGTCCTACAACTCTTTTATGATCATTTGGATCAACATATTTGAGCGGAGCTTTTGTATCACTAAATACAGTTAAATGTTGCGTATTAGTGTAAGCAATAAGAAGTGATGCAGGATGAGATATTATAGCAAACGACGTGAATTCACCTGAACCACCATATTGAATAATATGAGCACCAAGCTTGAAAGGTTCCCTATCCGTTAAAGGCACGGAAACTAATCGAAATGGAGTAGAATTCATCGCTCAACCGAAATGTTGAGAGATAAATGCAGTGAAATTGAAAATAGAGATATTATCTTATCTTTATTTTATAAAAATATGGGTAAATGAGAGTGAAAGTGAATGTAGATGTATGCGATGATAGTCATACTCATACACAAGGTTTTAAAGAAATGTTTAAATTCAATATGATTTATTACAGACTATGTTTAATATTGTATAAAAATTAATTTTAATCTTAAATAATAAAATATATTGAGAAACGCTTAAATAAATATAATAAGAACTTCAAGATCTTTCAGATAATTCGAATTGAATATATTAGAAAAAACAATAAAACTCTTTTTTATTCAGAAATTAAATCAAATTTTTGCACTCGTGAATTTCCACTATCACTAACATAAAGATTTTTTTTAACATCAAATGATAAATCAATAGGATAAAACAATTGATTTGATTCATCTCCTGGACCATGTTCACCAATAATTATTTCACCTTCTCGATTTCCTTCGCTCCAACGCATTATTCGATGATTATAATAATCTGCAATATAAATTTGGCCAAAATCATCAACGAGTATCCCCTGAGGATAAGATAATTGATTAAGATTATTTCCTTGACCATTTCCTCCAGCAACAATAATTCCTTCATTCGCATCTTTTCTCCATTTCATCACACGATGGTTTCCTTTATCTGTAACATAAACTGATTGTTCTGAATCCACAAAAATATAAGCAGGTCGATTGAATTGATTAAGTTGATTTCCTTGACCATTTCCACCAGCAACTAATTTTTCTTCGTTTTCTCCAATTTTCCATCTTCTCACTTCATTCTTGCTCCAATCCGAGATATAAAGATAGCCATATTTATCCATTGTTAAACGAGAAATAGTAATATTTTCAATGAGAGTTTCTTGTTGGTTTTCGTTGAACCATCGAATTACTCGATAATTTACCAAATCGGCAATGATGAGTGAATTATTTTGTTCATCAACAATCACATTTGTTGGCATATTCAATTGATCAGTTCCGTTTCCTCCAACAACAACTGTTCCTTCAGTTTCATTTAATTTCCATTCAACAATTCGACAATTTTGATGATCCGCAATGAAAATATTTTGATTGTTATCAATAAAAATTCCTTCAGGATTCCAGAGTTGATTCAATTTGTCTCCATGTCCGTTTCCTCCAGCGACAGTCATTCCATTTTGTTTCCATTTTTTGGATTGTACTCCTAAAAACAGGACATATCAAAGAAAAGCAACATTTCATTGTCATCTCATTTGTCACTATTTATCAATATAAATCATTTAAATTAAATATCTTCTACTTACCAGTTGATAATGATGGACAAATATTTTCATTAATCATCGACAATGGATAACAAACAGGAGAATTATTACATCGACTATGACGAATACAAATCGAATCTGGATCAGAACATTCTTGCGATGATCCACATGGAATTAGTTGAGAACAAGTTTTCAAAATAAAAGTACAAACACCAACATTTTTGGCACCTACCATAGGATAACATTTACAAGCGCTATTACTTGAACATCGACTATATGGAATTGTACTATCACATATTTGGGAGTTGACTTCAACTATTTAAGAGAATTAGATTTTATAGATAAACATAGAATATGAAATAATAAACAAACCTATGAAACTAAAATGAAAGAGATTTATTTTTAGTATAATCA